ATGAACCGTACTCGCCCTATAAAGTAAGAAATGTAACCTCCTAGTACTCTGCATGATCCTTATATGGCTTCGAACTAACGGCTCGCTACTTGAAGTCCTATTTGCTCGAACTATAGACCAGAAATTTCAAACCGACACCGGCCCACGGCAGGTCAGGGGCTTTCGTAGCTGTTCGGTCGTTAATTTCGACGATGTCCAACGTGTGCTTAACAACAGAATGAGAGCGCGGACGGTGGCTTGCGCGGAAAGTAGTTTGCTGTGATAGTAGACTTCCACAACATCTACCGCATTCTTTCCTCCGTTTCCTCCACCTGAGACCGGTGCCGGATGTGGGGGAGGGTGTATGTGGCTGGCGCGGCCGGAGCCGCCCATAGGCATGCGTTACATATGGTTCGGATCTCACGGAATAAAACTGACATATAGGCCAAATTCATAAAGAGCGATTGCAGCCTAATTCTTCGTCCCCTAGTTCGCTACTGCACCCAAACACACGCTGGGCGGTCTATAAGGTTCAGGTTAACCCGTCAGTTGGCAGCCTTCGACGTCACGGCTTTTAGCATACCGTGATAGTTTTAGCGTGCCAGATTGTTTTGTTGAGGACATTGCGTCGGTACGTCGACCTCCTTCTCTCTTCCCATTCCCAGGCACCAGTAAAATGTCCGAATTGGCCAGATATCGGATGTTGGAAGTAGGCGCAGAAGCTGATAAAAATTGAGGACCTGTCTGCATGTGTCATATGCACGACCTGGCCCCTCAACCGTACCCACCGAGGTTGTACAACAAGGGGATAGAACGTTCGTATCTCAAATGCATCAGAGGAGCCACATGGATAAAGGAACCGAAAAGAGCACTTCTTACCTACGTGGGCGGTACTGATGATGTGCGACTTTTGAGTGGTGTATGCATAAAGCATTGTTTGTTTGGAGAATGTGTGGTAATATGGTTGCGTATGCGGCGACTTACCTCAGGTTTTCTTGAAGGCCCATGCGGTGGGGGGATGTGCGAGGACTATATGGGCGGTGGAGGCAGGTACAGTTTGTGTATGTTGGTTCTCCAGACACTCGTTGACAGGTCTATCTGCAATGGATTCGCAGTTGACCGATCAGGCCGACGCGATATGTACATGTGCGATGGTTGTGAGCGTAGGAAGGGTTAGCAACTGAAGAATCGGCCGGGGTGATGAGGCTCTTAGGCGTGGTCGTGTTGGTGTGTGGTTAGTTTATGATGCTCGAACTGGGGCCGTTTTCGGGCATGCTGAATATGTGCTAATCGTCCGTATTCGTGGATACACATGCGACCGAACTGGCCCATGCGGAGTGAATGTGCGTGTACAGCGCAGGCAGTGGAGACAGGTGAAACGGGTGTATGTCTCACGTTCTTGGCAAGTGACATGAAATCGTCTTTTCAACAACATCAACAATTCGCTTAACAGGGAGAAGTCATTTTATCTGCCTTCGAAAAACGTCTAGATTGTGGGTGGAAACCAAGGACTGTAGGACCCACACACTATGAATGACTACTCAAATGTATTTAGTCGATTGCAAAAGCATCGCGTGTTACTCATCAACCTCACGAGCAGATTTCTACAAATCGATATCGCTTAATTTCATCTTATGCACAAAACTGCAAATAACACATTAGTTCTCCGTTTTGTTTCTTTAATATTCAGTTGTCCTAATTTTTTAATTGGTCAAAACGTCGGTTAGTCTGAAAGATTGTCCATTCCGCGTCACGGCCTCGGTTTCCATCTTCAAAGACCCGCTTTCGCTTCTTACTGCTCGTCTCTAAGTTTTCGCCCAACGACTAGTTAGTTGCGGTTTGTTCTGCACGTCGAGTCGTTTCCAGGCCAGTTCTATCTACCTTTGCGATAAGTGATTCAATATCTAGTTCAGGTGCAAGATACCCGCAAAGACTCTCAGAAAGGCATCTTTCTAATTGCAGTTTCATGGACTTTGGCTTTAACTCGTTGCTCCACAATATTGAGCCTTCGTGATTAAGCGAATTACCCAATCTCAAATCTCCACCAGAGTGGCGGTCTCTTCAAACTCGCCAGGTGGGTGGTTTGCTGGGTGGTCTCTTCGAAGCATTTTGTCCGCTCCTCTGAGGTGTCCTTGTAGATATATAAGTGTATAGTCTTTTCAACTAAAATCCAAAGTTGTGATTTATGTTTCCATATAATATTAGAAGGCGCATCTCAATGTCAACCTATACCAAAACGTCTTTTCCACATAATTTTTACACTTTTATTAATTAGGAACATTAATCATCTTTTGGATTTGTTTCCTTGGATTTGAGTGCGAGACTGGCTCACTGAAATGCGTTCATCTTATTCACCTGATATATTGCATTGGCAAACCATCATTTGTGACTATTAGCTTGATGGCACATTGAAAGTTATAACCTATAGGTGATTGGCTGACACATGACATGTCACTGCCTGTAATCTGTCCAGCGGTCTCTCCTTCCGACTGGCGTTTTTGGAGTCGAAGGTCTCATTAATGCACTCATTCCTCAATTATGTGCGGCGTATCGGACATAGTTAAATGTGTTGGAAAACCGCACATGCGCCTTTCTGACTGATAACAGGACTTGGCGGGCGGAGTGGACCTTGGAGTACCCGGGTCTCCCATATTGATCGCGCATACTGAATGCGTCTGTTAGGATCCGGCGTGGCGCATGGATTTGTGTATCCTGTCTTCCGTACGTGACAGCAAGGCCAGGTTACTCGCGTAGTCTGTACCCCGTCAGCCGACCAAATGTGTGGTCACATACTGATTCGAAAACGCAAATTGCTGGCTCACGGCCGCAACGTTTCCTATGCCATGCCATCGGAAACACTAACATATCTTAACTGCAGTGTCGCCGAGTTTGCCCGTTTTGGTACTGGGCAAACATATTCCAGCAGCCCAAGACTGTGAATCACCGTTGTGTTCAATACCGCCTCAGTGTCGCGAGTGAGTTTTGTTTGGTCTACCCTCCGAAACTTTGAGATTTTGCCTCTGAAGGCTTTATGAGCTGGTCGATGAGCAGTAGCAGACAAAAATCTGGCAAACACTGTCCAGGGGGTTTTCTGAACGCATTTTATACTTCAAATAACAGTTCGACCGTCGTGTCCAACGATGTTCACCGTATACTCCACAGCAAGGTGAGGCAGGCAGGGTGACTTGCTCGTGAATTAGTCTATAGTGGGCGTGGACTTGCGCAGCATCTAATGTATTCTCACCTCCCCTCCCCCCCCCTCCCCCCTACGTGGACCCGGTGCCAAGACAGAGCCAAGAAGACCGAGGACGGGGGAGGGCGCAGGTGGATGGCGCTACCGGGCCTGCACCATGGCGCACCACTATACTCCCCCTGGTCCATACAACAAATGGCCAGGTTTTTAACCAACAACCACAACGGGTCAGAAGAACGACGATGACTGGGCAACCATGTTCACGACCTGTATACCCAGCGGGAGTGCACGCGCATCTGCAGGCAGGAAATCAGGTGTCAGAGAACTGCCAGCGCATACCAGACTGCGAGTGCCTTTGTTCGCTGATCCTGGCATAGCAGACGCTTACGAACCTTTGGGCCCAGAAGGGTGACACGCGGCCTTGCATTTGCCTGGGCCGTCACCCTTCGAGGTTAGGTGACCAAACAGTCGTCGACTGGGAGGCACTTCCCATAAAGCACACGCATTCCCTCCACATACGTGGAAGCGTCACAAGAAGGAGCCGTGATAGCCTGACTCAGCCCACCAGTTCACCACTCCACACAAACGCACACAACTGGGCAGACTCTGTGGTATGATTTGAGGCGTCAGTCGGCAGTCTTTCAAGCCACGGCGCCTGGCGCGCCAACACAGTCTCGGACTCGAATTACACGCAGCAGAGGAGCCACTTGGAGAAGAAGCCAAGAAGTGCACTTCGCACTTTTGTGGAAGGTACTAATTGGGTGCTTGTGATGGGTGATGGTGTTGGCAGCTGCGGATGTTGGTGGGGGAAGGTGTAGTGGTGCGGCGTAACCGTCGGTTGTCTACCGCAGGTTTTCGTGAATACGCATGTGACCTAGTAGGCCCATGCGGTGACTAAAAGCGCGGAGCAGTGAGGACACTTGAAGCGAATGCGGCCGTGCTCCAGGCACTGGTTTGTCAGTTTCCGAGCGATGGATTCGCAAGTGACCGACCGGGCCAATTTGTGCGGTGAAGATATGATCGCAGTGAGGACAGGTATGGAGTGAGTCGACATCGCTGGTGTTGACGGTGGTGAGGCAGATGTTTACCGATGTGTCAGGACTGTGTGCAGTGGTAGTGGGTACAGGAGTCGCCACAGCGGATGTTGCGGTGGTGAACGATGACAATGGACGGTTCAGGAGTGTGGTCACTTTTGGTTGTTGGCGTGAGGCTTGAGGCAGTCGACGGGGGGACATCGGGTCGTGTCTTTCGGCTGCTGCAGTTATTTCGAAGATGTCCAATAAGATCGATTGGTGCCCGGAACGTCCTCCGACATCGTGAGCAGGTGGGGGGCGGTTGAGTGTTGCCGTTTCGATGTGAGGACAGTTGAGATTGGCGGGCTTTGTTTTGCGGACGGTAATGCAGTTGGCTTCGTAGATTGCGGCGCCTGCCTTCTCTGTTCTACTGCAGGTCGGTCGGTTCAGGGCGAGATCTTCCCAGTTGGCCGGATTGATCTGCGGTCGCTTCAAGAAAGTCTTTGAAGTATCCTTTTAGAGCCGGCATTGTTCGCTTTGTCGGCAGGAACCCGTGGTGACATCTCAACAGAAGAGTCGTCTGGGTAGCCGCTCTTCGTCCATCTGCACGAGGTGACCGCTCCGGCGCAGTTGTCTCAGCATGGCATGGATATGGGGGATTCCCGTCCGTTTCATTAGGTCCGTGTCCGGAATCCGATTCCGTCACCTCAGTCTTAGTATCCGCCAAAGACAGCTGAGGTGGAAGTGGTTGAGTCTCCGAGCCTGCTTCCTGTACGCCGTCCAGGTCTCCGCTCCATACAGCAGCGTCGGCAGGATTACCGCTTTGTAACTCTTGAGTTTGGTGCTGAGGTGGAAAACGTGATGGTTTCAGACGGTGTTCTGAAGGCGTAGGGTGGCGGTTGATATATAACCACCGTCTCCTTTGTGTTGATGACCAAGCCGTTGTCGCAGGCGGCGGCGAAGAGATCCATGCTCCTTTGCATGTCCCTTTCTGAGGTGGTGTTTACAGCACAGTCGTCAGCGAAGGGAAGTTCATGGGCGATAGTTGTGGATACATGCAACTGGAAGTGCATCCGCCGCTGATTGAGGAGTTGTCCGTCCGTTCTGTAGGCAACGCTGATCCCGAGACACTCACCACGTAGGCGTCCATCAGCATGGCAGAGAACATGAGACTGGAGAGGGTAGGCTAGAGGAAACAGCCCTGCCTTACTCCGTTGATCACTGCGAATGCCTGTGAGACATCTTTATTGTCCGTGACACGCGCCGTCATGCCATCATGGAGTTGACGCACCATCTGAGTAAGTCGTTTGGGACAGCCGAATTTCTGCATGATTTTTTTACAGTCCGTCGCGATTCGCTGTGTCGAAGGCCTTCGTCAGATCCGCGAACGTAGAGGTGGGTCTGCATATCCTGACACTTCTCCTATAGTTGGCGGGCGGCGAAGATCATGTCGGTTGTGCCTCGATGACGGCGAAAGCCACATTGGCTTTCTGGCTGAAGTTCTTGTTTTATATGGTTGCTGAGACGGTTGAAGAGTGTGCGACCGAAAATATTTCCGGCATGCTCATACTGTGCTCTTCTGGCGGACGAAAATCTTGCTTATGCACACTTCTAGCCTCCGTAGTGCAGAGTTTTCGGGTCATACAGCACCCCTAGCCAGATGTCTCTCTTCAAAGTGGCACTAGCTGCAAAAGGCGACTGACTGTAGATACTCAGTTCCTATATAGCCAGATCGGCTGGCAGATATGCCATTGTGACGGGGTAATGCATATGCCAGACATGGGTGCATAGGTCTGACCTATTTTCTACGCCGGTTAATCGGAAGGTGACACCGGCCAATTTTATTGTAGCTTCTACGATGGTGGAGGAAACCTCACGATTGTTTCACCCTCGTCCACCTATTGTTTTTGTCGCCAGACTTTGGCACCTACACTGGTAAAGTCCTTTTATTTCAGTACTAGCTGAAAGGACCTTATCCCGCGTTCTGGATCTTTCGTCTGATTTGCAGTCATCATAGGCCTTCAGTGTAGTATACGCCTGTGATAAGATGGGAGGTGAGCGTGGTAGGCATAGTTTCGCACGAGTTCAATTTAACGCACGAAAGATGATATCCGCTTTCATGGTGTCTGTGGAATAATAAACAAAACCGATTCTCCCTGGACATTTATGGTCATTTTTGATTTCCACCCAATTGTTTTTTCCTTATCTTTAGATTGTTTGACTTTCAGCAACCTAGTAACTGTATTATCATTCTCAATTTTTATTTTGTGCTGGATTCTTTTTTGACGACAAAATTAGTTAACGACCTCTCAAAAACTGTCTCGGACGCCCTTACGTCTGTTAACTTTTGACGTGGGCCTTTGGTTTTCAGGCGGCTGACCTGTGGATATTTTTGGTATCTAGGGTTGAGGCCGCAGCTTAGTACAACGGCAATATCGAATGCGAATCTCTTAGACTCGATCCTGCACAATTAGCTGATAACCGGAGACTGATAAGCATTGGGATAGATCTTCCTTATTCGTCCAGTCACCTCCTCGGTAGCATAAACCGGTGTTTTACTAATCACAAAGTAATAAAGCCTGCTTAACGTCACGAATGAATGCATTGCCACTATCGGTCTGACTTTGCAGAAGGGCTCTTTTATTGTGTAAGTAAAAGGTGTTCTGTAGGCACCAACGGTTTTTTAGTTGTAGTTTATTTTTGTCACTACCCAGTAGGACACTTGAATTTTAAATTAGCGCGAACTCAGCCCCATTTCAAAGTCCAGAAGATATAAAGTGAACCCATTTGTTAGTTGACAAATAGGTAGTCCCTTGTCAACTCCACTGGCGATGGTAAACACCGGAGGCAATTTAATCGACAAAGACCGGTTGTTGTTTCATATAAGTAACTTAAGCGGAGGCTATCTTTCGGTGACGAAATACGGATGTTTTCCCCCTTCCTAGCATGTCGTGGTGCCCGAAAGACGGATCTGTTTGTCATTGCTGTCGATGGTCACTCGAAGTGGCAGATAGGTGAGTGGTCTTCGGCAAACGTTGGTTGTAAAAACGAACTGACTCTTGCATCTAGCAACTAAGCAGTCGTTGGCCGGCAACGTCGGAGTTAGGTGTGGCCTGACAATTCGACTGTGACGGACGACGATGTCCACCGTCTGCCCCACAGGAGGGGGAGCATGGAGACGGCGACCTGCGCGCGAATTAGTCTATAATGATAGTAGACTTGCGCTGCATCTGTCGCGCTCCCCTCTGTCACCTGGGCTCGGTGTCAAGATGGACGCAGATGGCTGGCTCGACGTGAATTCGCACCAAGGCGTGCGGCGCGTTTTATGGGTGCGCAGCCCGGTACCATGTGCTGGACGCTGATCTGGCCGCCGTATTCGTCCAGTGCACTCCCCGCGTGACCCGCAGTAGGGAGTACTCCAACTGTCGCACAAAGTCAAATGGCTCCACCGTAAAATAATGATCATAGACCGCCACTAAGTACCTTCTTTGTCACTTCTACCTTGAGTTTAGATTCAACCAAACTATTACACTAAAGAACGGTACGTCATAAAAATTGAGGCTGGCCAGATGATCTGTGGTCTTAGTGTACGAAGTGAAAGTTCCAGGTTCTACCAAGGCAGCAAAAACAACCGAGATTTGGTCGGAGTTCTGCTTCATCCCTAAGTTTTTTCATTCGTTCAGAATAGTTAGAGGTATGAGTCTGATGCCGATTGCCGATTTTAATGTGCCCAACTAGTTTTGTCCTTCCGCATGGACCATTAAACTGCATGCGTACTTTTTTACTCTCTACCTGTAAAACGACCTCACTTTGTTTGACTGTATACAAGCATCGGTAAAGCTGTCGTTTCTTGTCTGAATATCTTCTAGCTGCTGGACTTACTTGTCTTAGTCCTGTGTTTGGTCTCAGCGCTTTCTTTACCACATTTGCACTTGGCTTTTTACGGACTGCCTTCTTTTTCAGTGTTTTTTTTTCCGAACGCATTGGTAGACATCAATGGACATTCTCTAACTTTCAGGTTCTGTGTCCGCCCGATCGCCATGTCCGTTGACTACTGTGATCGCTCTGCAGAGCTTGTCAAGTGCGCCCAGCTGTTCCACCAGAAAGTGATGTCGGGTCGAGCTAGACTAAAACCCCGCCTCAGTGCAGCCGCAGCTGCCTACAAAATCCCTCTTTCCTCTCTCTACCGGGGACAGTTTTTGCCATCTGCACGACACATTCAAGTTCGACTCAATGACGCCGAAGGCAAACTGAGCAGTCTGAAAGACTCCTCAGCTAACCCTGAAGGTCACCCTGTTCAGATCGCAGAGGCCCTATCAGTCGGTGCCCATGCTCTTCAATCAGAGGTTGTATCCATTAACAGCTATCTGCAACAGCTGCTAAAGCTCACACCGCAAGTCCTTCAGGAGGTTGCGAACCGCCCACAGGTTTCGAGACATGTCCAAGCAGTCGTCTCCACTCTTGAGCACCGAATGGCAGCACTTTCAATGGGTCTGCGGGACTTTTACCAGGACAAAAAACAACTACTTTCGGCCGTTGATTTAGACAAGGCTACACCCGCCGCTACGGACATCTGCGGTTCGAGTCAACATCATCATCATCCAGACCATCGTGTGCTTGCCGCTCCATCCTACCCTCCTCAACCTCCCCACGTCGATGTTGGCGCTAATATGCAGCCCCTTATTCCATTATCCGCTTCGGTTCCCCCGACCTCCTCCAACTCCTCCGTAACCGCCCCTTTTAATCGGGCCGGTGCGAACCCGTTGCTTTCTGTGCAGCACGCAGCACCACAGAATCTGCCCCCTAACAAGGCACCGGGTTCCTTTAATGCACTTCCTCCTGAGGAGAAGAATCAGGTATGTGACGTCTTCTATTTGTTGAGTTGGTTTGTCTATTGAGGCAGGAGTAGGGTGTGTGTGGGATTTTGATTCTTTCAGCTTCTTTTCCTTATTCTGTGAAGCAGATTACCTAGAGATCTAGAACTTGATGTGTACGGATTAATCTGTTTATGTTCCGCAAATATTCCCATGTTACACTTGAAAAGTCAAGTTGGCAAACACGTGTTTTCGGTAACTCTTCGTCAGGCCAATACAGTGAAGGAATGAAAATGCACAAAATCAACAGTGTTTATAGGTGTCTCCAGGGGCAATTAAGTCATTAACACTCATCTTCCCCACGCCGCCCGCATGACAAAGTTCGCGGGTTTTGGTCCTCAGGATTAGGGGAAAGGGGTAAGAGAATCTTTGGGTGATGTTCTTCGATTGAGTACATGGAGTACCAATCACTGTAATTAGAGATTTGAGGCGAAATATCGTCATCAATTAAGGTTCGCCTTGGTCACGGCAGAGCGAACGCTTGCATCAGGGTTTTCTGACATCATAACACCGGCTTCGCTAACTGTATAGCTACTGCCTCGGCCGTTGCTAGTATCCGTTGGCGTAGGCCTTTAGAGAAGCATGTTGGTGTCCGGTAGACAACCTGAAATGTTTCCTTGGCATCGACTTGGTGATTTGTATCGATTAAATGTGCGAGAATAGAACTCGAAATCGAACGGGTCTCACCTCTCTCTAGCCAGGCGGGCATTTGTGCACGCACCCTCTGTACCAGGCGTCTCGTTGTGCGGCCGATGAATCCTGCTCCACAGGAGCAACTAAATGAATAAATGCACATTGATGTGGCATCCAACGGTGGTCTGTCTTTACCCCCCAAACGTATGAGGTGAGGGTTTGTGAAGCATACGCGTAAATTCGATGCGGAGAATGCTCTCGTGATAGCTGTAGTTAAGCGCCGTCTGACTGGTTCGCTCTCTGCGTCTCCTGCAAAAGGCAATCTTAGGAATACCTCTTTCTTTTCCGCAGTCGCAACAGTGGGCTTTGCGGCGCGTTTCCCAATATTTCGGAGGATAAATCTATCTGGGTATCCGTTCTCTCGAAGTGTGTTCCGCAGCTGTTGGAGTTCTTCTTCAATCGCCTCAGGTGAGCAGATGCGTCTCACTCTAACCGCTAATCCCTGGACTAGATTCCGTTTGACGTGGAGGGGAACAAAACTGTGGAAATTAACGTATTGTCCCGTCCAGGTTTTCTTTCTGAACATCCTGCGCTGGATAGACCAATCCTCTTGCCTGTTCAGATGGTCATCGAGAAAGGCAATTTTGTTATCAGCCTCGGCCTCTGCAGTGAACTTTAGCGAGGGGTGCGCACTGTTGAACTTTTGGACAAGGTCCTCGGTATCGGTGGTACCATCCGCCAGGCAGAAGATATCGTTCACGTACCGACCGTAGAAGACGAGGCCATTAATGGTGTCTTGCAATCCTGTTTTCTCGACTTTGCTTAAAATCTGTTTATAGTGAAGTAGGCATGCGCTGTATCAACCTCGTTCTTCCTCGCCGTGTTCCAACGCCAAGGCAAAGTCAGGATGGCCGGAGGTGAGCGTGAGCGTTCCGTCATCGCGTTTCACACCTGACCTAGTCTCTAACTGCATACGTGACAGGGGGTTAGACCGTCGCAAGGGACGATGCCCACTTTGCGCCCCACGGAGTAGACGCAACATCGGTGACTTGTTTACATTGAGACAGGCTTACGCAGCACCTCACTCACCTGAATTCGCTGGCAGGGCAATATCAAGGACTCGGTTGCAGTAGCTGACAGAGTTGAGCAGCCTGTCTACGCGTGCCGCACACAGTCCGGCCCCCGTACAGTGTTCCAGGGTTTCGGATAGGCAAGGGAGACCTGGGTCCTGCGTTCATGGGTGTGCCATAGTAAGAAGGAGCCATTCCGCCTGACTCTCAGACCTCGAACCCGTCACCTCACACGCACCCACAGTACTAACCACGAGGATCCAGCCAGTTGGTAGCCTTCCAAGCCAGGACTCTTAACACATCGTAGTAATTTCAAAACGCGTCAGATTTGTTGCAGCGAGGATTGCACTAAAGTGTTGTGGGGGTGGAATCTCCAGTGTCTCCCCCTGATCTGCTGACGTCTTACGTTAGTGTAAGTGCCTTGAAGGCCGCATTAAGATGGAGTCATTAGTGTTTGAATGCCCATCCGGAAGAGGATTGACTTATCCCATCAGCTGGCAACCTTTTGAGCCACAGACTTTTCCACATAGGTAGACATCAAGCCCTTCTCCCCCCTCCCCCCTTAAACACCTATGACTTTGGTTAACTGGTGGTGACACTGGGCGCAGTAGCTGATGTGTTGCGAGTCCCCATCTAAAACAGGTTGCACTCAGGTAGGCCAGCCGTTAGCCCCGATTCATCCCGACTGCGCTCACCGTAGTTTTGCGCCTTCGCAATAGCGGCGAAGCCAGTGTTTCAGGGCATTCCTGAACCGCCTCCTCGTCTGGCAGCAACTACTTATTTGGCATTGAAAGTGCTTTTTACAAACTCTTGTCACCTCGAAGGTCAATGCGGTGGCCGACCGACCCATAGGCTGTATTCGGCACCTCCATCCAATCGATTCTTTTGTACCAACCTGCGATCTAAACTGCATCGAAGCAGTGCGGAGATTGTTTGCCTTCTATCGCAAGGGCAGAGGCCCTTTGTTGTGTACTCCACAAAACAGAGAAACCTCAATTCCAACGAGAATGTCCGTGTCTGTCTGACGTTTAACCCACGGTGAGTTCATGATCAGGAGGATGAAAGTTTGCAAGACTTCTACCGAGTCGATCCGATCCAGTCTTGGCAGAGGGTGCGCCGTCTGTCTGGCGGATCATTTCCTGAGATGTCAGCCGTCTTAGCATACTCGGGTGGGGCCTTGGCCGCTTTATCGAAAGCCCATTGGCCATCCCGTTTTAGGATCAGTCACCCGATCCTTTCCTGAAAATTGCCAGACAAAATTTCCTCTGCGATCGCGGGGTTTTCAACTGGCTACTTATTCTACGCGCGATCGAATTCGGAGTTACGTGATAGATTTAAACAAGCATGTGGCGTAAATATGATTTCCTGGCTACCTCCATAATTTCAACTGCATTGTCTGTTTCTTTACATGGGTGGGCTCGTACAACCCCTCTTACCACCATTCCCGCATTAGAGGTGGTCTTACGCTTAAGTGCTTCGGCCAAAAGATGAATGTAGAATTATTGTTGAATTCAGTAACACGTATAAGCCAAAACAGATTTCGGTGTATATACGGTACTATTGATAAAATACGGTAATAATAAAAAACGTGCATACCTCAACAATGGATACCCTAGACAAAGAATTCCTTCGTTACTTTCGAGCAAATCGAATTCCCAGCTCAAGGTCAGAATAAAAAAACTAGTTAATTAAAAGAGCGCCGTTCGCGCTTGAAAGAGGGTTACAAAAAGGGGGCCAGATGTGGAAGCACTTGCGAGGAGGGCGTGGAGAATTCCAAACGTTGACCAGCTGGATCCAACAATGAGGGAAACCACAATCATCACCTTTATCAAACCTTGTCAGAAGTGGTATCTAGGTGTAGCCAACAGCATCCCCTAATAAATTATTGATTGTTTCATTTTCTCTGTCTTCTCGTTCGTTATCTTTCTATTTACACCTTTCACATTATCGTCCATTTTCCCGGCAACCAGATTCTTGTCCCAAATCAGGTTCGTGGCAGTTGTGTGACGTGGATCCTAAGCCGTGTTAACCTCTGTAACCGTTATCATCTCCACTCAGCGCAATTCGGACTTTTCACTGGTTTATCAATGAGGTCGGTTTTGTTCGACCTTTTCTCCCTAAGGTAAATCTGACGTGCTTTTCAGCTGTCAGGATTCACCGGAGGCCGTGATTTTAAGGTCTGCCACCTGACGGGATACCTTGTTTTCTTCAAACCGAGAATCAGACTGCAGTATTTTCTTGATTTGCCCTTACAGCAGTTGCCGCCAGGCTGAGTCTGCAGCACGCGTATTGAGCGCGTAGAGTGGGAATTTCTGTCAAGTTAGCCACCGCGCTCACCTCCAGCCTAGTCCCGCCATTGAGACACGATAGGCGCGAGAAGGAGTAAGATCAGTGCCTCGCAGGTGCACCGTTCACCCGAAGCTGCTACGCCATCGTCGTTTAACCACATGTTGCTCTTTATTTGTCCCCCGCCCCCTCCCCGGACGCGTGCGTCGTGCAAGTTGTGTTTAGTTGCGACTATGCAGACTCGTACCCATTACCCACAGACAGGCATTTGTCTTTTCAACCGAGCTATTTCGGACGGTTGCGTACAAGGCGCTTTTCCAAACTGATTGCACGAAATTACTTATATCGCTCCCTCCATGAGCGTGGACGTCCGAAAAATTTGCACCCTATTTGCCCTCCGGACGCTTACGTCGCACAAGTTGTGTTTAATTGGGAGTTTTATCGTCGCCCATTTCAGTCCTCTCAGCGTTTTTCTTTTTAAGCTCGAAACCGGCCGCTGGAATGAAGTCTACCAGGCGCAGAACCAGGTCCAACTCACACTCACTGAAGATCCCCAGTCGGTGATCCGTCAACGGGACCGTGCCCTCCGCAACACTGAACAGACCATCGTGCAGCTGGGTGAGATCTACCAGCAGTTCAGTTTCCTAGTGAAGGAACAGGGCGAGTTGGTTACACGCATCGACACGCACCTGGAGGACGCTGGTCTCAATGTGGACCTCGCACACAACCACTTGGTGGAATTTATGCGCCGAATATCCTCGCGTCGAGCCTTTATGCTCAAACTCTTCGCGACACTCATCGTAGTCTTCTGTATCTTTGCTTTCCTCCTGCGGTGAAGACTGCCTTTCTCATTTCCCCTTTGCATTCCTTCTTTTTTAAGCCACAATTTCACCACACTCTTCTCCAGTTCAAATTTGGTAGGGTTCAGTGCAATTCAGTCTTTCCTCTTTCCTTCGCCCCCTACCCCCTAATGAGTGATTGCTTGAATAAATACTTATCTCGACCACGTTTTTTCCGAGGAATTGCTAAAACTGCTGTCCCTTAACTTGCTCTTTGGCTTCGCGGGCAATCCGCACTTGGACGCTGTATGATGTTATTACTTACAGGGATTGGTAGGAGAGGGAGACTTAAGTGGCCGTTTCTAGCTTATCTACCGTCATCAGACGATCATTCTCCAGATCGAGAAGACCCGGGTCCTTGGTCGCTGGGTTTACCTCTCCCGGACAAGTCACCCATCCACGCTCTGTCACGTATCGTCAGAGTCGTTTGGGAGTAACGCTAGCCGATCCAACCTGGTTGCAGAGTGCATCCGCCTTCGTCTAAGATCTCTGGTCTGCATTCCTGGCAGACGGTTTCATTGCGGTCAGTAATCACTACCTGCTATCGATAAAAACAAAGGGGGTTGGAATGTCTACTTCCAGTCTATTTTCCGTTGTGAACCCAGCTGAACTATAACCTCTCATGCCAGGACCTCCGGAGAAAAACTGATGCACACTCTGTTCCGTGGTCGGGCTGGCTCTGCAGCATTCACAGGCCACTTCCAGGGGGACTTTAAATACTTCCGATCACAGCGGATAGGATATGCGTATGTGAGGCACCTGGTGAAGTGGAGCTCAATCGCGAACTGCCTATCGGATTCGCTTAGGCTGCTGTCTCGTTGTGGCTACCGACGGTTGCGACTAATCGATGGATGTCTGCCCGGTCTCCGTCGTCTTCAGTGGTAGTCTGCGTTAAAAGTTTGAGAACGTTTTAGTCCGCTACTCTTTCTCGCCGATTGACCGGTTTCAGTATTGAACCCCGTTGCCACATTCGAAACGCATCATGAATGGCGCCCATCCTGGCTGCTTCAACTGAGCGAGGTCTTGCGGTGGTGGTGGTGGTGGTGGTGGTGGTGGTGGTGGTGGCGGCGGCGGCGGCGGCGGCGGCGGCGGCGGCGGTGGCGGCGTCTAGGCCACAATAGTCGGTGCAGTAGCATTGTCTTTGCCAGACCGCGGTTTTTCTTTGACGATTGCCTTCATAGAACCTGCCTGACGAACTGAAATAACAGCGATGGAAGTATGCGGGAAGCTGAACATTTTTAAAGAGGCCGATTTTTACCAGTATGATAGAGGGCGCTCAGTGATCGCGTTATGGGGCATACTTGACCCGTTGTGCTTTGGTGCAAGCACTTGGGGCCCCGTAGGCAGTCGCACAGCGACTAATAATATAGGCAGCATAGCATTACCGACGAAGACAAGAGAGACTGGGGTTAACATCTCCAGCTTACTAGCCGTTTTCAGCCTGCTCCACTATAGTTTATATGCCCGGTCTCAACCGACTGTACAAGAAGTCTCGTGTCTCAATGGTTAAAGCGTCCGAGTAATAGCCAAAAGAGCTCCAATTCGAGCCTCGGATGACCCGAAAACCTGGATTAGTGTAAGGCTGGTTGACAACGACAAATGAGCCAGAATTGGTCATCCAAGTCTCTCGTGTCTTTTCGGTAGTCTTCCCCTGCATTACCACCTGTCACAAGATGTTGCACACAAGGAGAAAGTCCACTGCGTACTGTACATGTCGCTCGAACGCTTCCTCCTCAGCTGGTTGCCTGGGAGGGAGCCTGTCTTCTGATGGCTCGTGTGCGGAGAATACTTGTTGCCCTCTGACCTTGCACATCCAATCAGGGATGGGAATGTGCATTGTAGGTGACGGAGATTGTTAAACACCGTGCATGACTTCTCAATAGGCCTTTAAACGGAACTGTTGTCTAGGCAAGCTCGCAAACCAGATTAACGGGATAGCAGTTCTGAACCAATCCCTACACGCCAATATGCTACTTCTGTAAATGACGCCCTGAATGAGAGCAACGTATGCTGTTTTTGTTCCTTTGCCGAGGATCGCACGAATTTGAGGAAATTGTTACAAAATGTCATAAGGAATTAGTCTCTTGAGTTCTTTTTCGCAGAAGAGCACGCCCTGCTCTATTTCTCTACTTGAAGGAAGCATTTTGTTTCAAAGAGACTCGACAGGCGTCTGTGTATTTTGAAAAAACATACCGGGTTCACACGTTTTAGGCCTCTATCTCTTCCGAGACAAATGTATACGTCTCCGTGCAGGTGTCTTTGACAAGTTTGAATAATTTAACTGACGCAATTGTGAAAGCGTGTGGGATTCAATCTTTCATAACTAAAGTACGACCAGTTGCAAACTCCCGTGAGCTCCCTAGCCAGACCACACATTCGGCTGTCCCGTTTGCCTAGGGACCAATAACTCCAGTACCACCCGCGGCGGCGACGATTCTGATCCCCTCGTTGCACAATATTCATATTTTATGGCAGGGGGCGCTCACCGATCGTTCTTACGGAACTCACTCGGTCCGTTGTGCCTTACGGGCCCTCTCTCTCGAACCCAACCAGCGAGAGAGGGTTCATAAGGCACAACGGAACGAGTGAGTTCCGTAAGAACGATCGGTGCGCGCTCTCCGTCATTGTATATTCGCGATCGAAACCGACAGGGCAACGGGGCCGTGGCCCAGTGGTTAGAGGCGTGGACTTTTAGCTAACAAGTCGCGAGTTTGAGCCTCGGGTGTTCCACACTTCGGGGTTGGGTATGACTGGCTGACGTCGGCTAATAAGTCAGAAATGGCCATTCCAGTCTCCCTTGTCTTTGACGGTAATACCATTCTGCCTACATTCATATTCTTTTGCCTGCACTCTCCCATTGAGGATGATTGAGGCCGTGCAGGCGTCGAAAGTCTATGGACACAGTACGCACTACTTAAGTAGTTGCATTTTCCGGAAATTCATATACACAGGCTACTAGACGGGTGTTTATTTAGAAGCAACTAGCCTCTTGTGTCTGAATTGGCTTGAGTGGAGTTCCTCGCCAATGACATTTGAAGCGCCACCTAACTAACCCTTCCCCATCAGACGATCCAGTTCCGCCATCTGGCATGGTAGGGTTCTCCTCAAGGCGTATTTCCCCGCCCACATCTCATGAGCGTGTTGTCATTGTTTGTTGGGCTGCATTTGGGGCGTGTGTTTTCGCTTTGTGCATATGACCAAGCTTTTTAAGTAAGCCCCACCGGTTGGGAGCCTGTCTTTCTATTGCTGGCCTTTTTCTTCATTTGAGGTCTGGTTTCACTTGCACATCTAGATGACGGCTGAAAAGGGCGACTTGGCCGCCACCTCGCCACAGGCGTCCGCTTCAGAAGAACTGACCGGCGATGCCGGTAATGATGGAGATCCGTCCTCGCAGGAGGAGGAGGCCGTCGCTGCCACTGACGTGCCCGGTGGTCCTGTGAGGCTGCCGCAGAAGCGGATGTACCGGCAGCGTGCTCACTGCAATCCCTGGTCCGATCACACCTTCGACTACCCTGTCCGCCCAGACACATTCGACTGGAGCGCCCTCTACGGCGGCGACTCTGACCGCCCCGTCACTATTGTCGACGTAGGCTGTGGTTATGGTGGTCTTCTGTTCCAGCTAGCCACAACCTTCCCAGAATCTCGTTCTCTGGGTATGGAAATTCGCCTCAAGGTTGTCGACTATGTCCAGGTAGGCGAGGCAACCTTTCTGTCAATTCAGAATTCCGTCTTGGCGACTATTTCTGTTTCTACAACTCCCCAGTCATTACGATTCTTCTTGCTAAGCACCACAGCTTGATCGATCTTCGGTTCCCTGCTGACCGACAGCTTTATCAGTCAGCCGTTTAAGTCACGTGATTCACCAGTGACAGTTCTCGTTTATGTAGCCGCAACCTCGTCACTTTCCATGTTCTCCCCACAGACTTCTGTTCACCTTTTGCGCTGCATCCCAAATTTGCCTTCCTTTTTAGTCGAAGATTAAAGCTCTGCGCCAGAATCATCCCGGATCCTATCAAAACATTGCCTGTATTCGGACAAATGCTATGAAGTACCTCCCCAATTACATCAAAAAGGTAACTTGCATTTGCAGACTTAATTGGATGCCTTTTTTGAGTCAGCAGTCTCCTTTCGCACCCCTTCTTTTGTATTTCAACTTCTCGACATGATCGGGCATCATTTTGTTGCATCCAAGGTACCAATTCAGAAGACGAAGATGTGATCAATTGAATAAGAAATTTATTTGCCTGACGTTTCGGATTCTCCCTCGAATCCATCATCAGAGACATTCGCAGATAAAGGTGATGGTGGCACCAGGAGTGCAGTATTTATAGCACGTGGCTGCCGTGGGACCATGTGCGCCCTGTAATTAACAGCCTCGCAATCACCACTGGGGTCGTAGCTGACGCGATGGTGACTTGTCAGCCCACGTCCGAGTCGTTAATTGCCGTGATTTCGTTATCAGTGCTGGATGCTGGTGCGACGACTGCTCTGCAAATTGGCTCACTGTCACTGGGATTGTTGCTCACCCGCGCCCTCCCCACGTGACTGATTCTCCTGCCCAGGGAAAATCTCAGCACGGAATATGGTACCGGGAAGTCAATTCGCTTGTTCATGGATTGCGAGCCTGAGAACCATGACTCGAGCAGCTCGCGGCTCACGCGGTTGTCACCCCTTGCGAGGTTTTCGGCCTCTTGAAACTTGAAAATATGGCCGGGTCCCATCGAATGAGACTCCACCTGAGAGCTAGCGTCTCCCCGCCTCACTGCTGCTGCGTGCTCGGCAATTCGCGTACGGAGTAATCTCCCAGTTGCTTTGCCCACAACCGCACCAGATCCAGTAAACGACTCCAGACGTTTCCTGCTGTGGCAGCGGGTCTTTTGGCCTCATGACTTGGCGCCTATTGGTTGCTTCTGCGACTGTCTCTGATGATGGGTTCGAGTGAGAATCCGAAACGTCAGGCCAACAAGTTTCTTGTTCCACTGATCACATCTTCGTCTTCCAAACTGCTGCCTGGAACTCGCCTGTTCGCTTCTATAAGGTAACAATTTTACTCAGAAAATTAACTTGGATGCTTTTGTTGAGTCAGCAGTCTCCGTTCCCCCCCCCCCCTTTGTAATTTGACTTCTCGACATGATTGGTCCCCACCCCATGTTTAAAATCCGCATCAATCCGGTCTATTCCCCTTCAGGGGTCGCGGTCACAGGATGCCCCGACTGTGACACTTCTGCTTGTCTCGGAATTATAGCAGAGACGACCTAATTTGGTAGCCACCAGTGGGTCTAAAGAGGTACTTGCTGAAAATTCTTGACAGCCAGAGAACCGTTGTTTGCATGCTGCAAGGCGGTGGAAATTTCCCAAGCAAACCTCCTCACGGCGCCTGTTCGAACTGCAGTCTATAGGTGCAGGAGTGAGACTTGCGGGTGGTGAGGTATTGGCGTCGTTCGCTTGAGCTTTTGGATTCATGCATCACGCACGAAACATCAACAGCAAGTTTTCGATTAGCCTTAAAATAGAGGGATTTGTGCTGGCGGTCCTACCTAACAGTCTGCTGGCAGTTGACCCAGCATCCTTCCCGCCAATTAATGTAACTTGTGCTCGGAGTGAGTAATGTTTTAAGCAGTCTGCAGTTTTCCACGTCCTCTCTTGATACGTGTCATAAAGATGCCCGAGCATGGGGTGGCCGATGACGGCCTTGTCTTTGTAGGTAGTTGGATGTCCTGAAAAAAACTGATAGATCCCCTCACACTTCAGTTTATCGCAAAGAAACCTGCTCAGAAGTCATCCTACATTTTAAGAGTAACCATTTCGTCTCTCAAAAGAAGATTACCGTCCAGAGCCTCCTAAACTGAGTCAAAGCACACTGCTCCGACAAAAAAGTTTTCATGCAAAAATGAAATACCTCTTCAAATTATTTTCCCACAGCGGGTACCCGCGTGACTTTGTGCGCCATTGCGTGAAACATGTGGTTAAACAGAAAGGTATTTCGAACACTACGGCCACTCAGGCACCAAAAACATTCAACTGATGGACTCTCTTATACGTGAAAAATGTATCTGAACTCGTCGAAAGACAGCTGAAAAAACATCAGATACAAGTAACACACTAACCTGCAACAACCCTGTGTACACAGCTTATACACCCTAAGGACAGGGCTGGCTATCTCCATAGAAAGGATGTTGTCTACAAGATCCCGTGCGCCAGTTGTAATGCCGTCTATTGTGGCCAGACCGGGAAATCTGCCTCAACCCGCATGCATGAGCACCAGTTAACGGTGAAGAGACGAGATCATCTATCCCAGGTGGCTATGCACACACTGGACACGACACAAATCTGCATGGGAGAGCACTCGCGTTGTTGGCGCCTGCCTAATAAGGAAAGTCCGCGAAATCCTGTAGGCGATGCACTCAGATGAGGCATGCCGATGTAGATGCTACGTACAAATTTCTCAAGGACAAATGAAAGTGAGCGCAGCCAATGCCGAGGGGATGACGATAGACCATTGATGCGCATTGGTGCAGGCTTCGGCCAACCACAGAATCAGTTGTTTGACACGGTCAAGGTTAACTGTTTTTATACATTGCCCAGAAGTCTAGCGTTTTCCATTTATTTATACAGTCTTATTATGGTTGATCTACTAGGATGGAGCGTGCACCACAGAACTGGAGCTGTTAAATATGCATAGAAGTCAGTCCGCCCGAGTCATTTTTAGAAGCCAACCGTCAGTTCGAAGTGTCTTGCCCGTTGACCACTTGTTTCCGCAATCCCGGTCTTAGGAGAAGTCTCTCACGCTATCCCCTCCCGCCCCCCTCATTCTTTAGGGTCAGCTGGAGAAGATGTTCTTTCTCTACCCGGATCCGCACTTTAAACGGCATAAGCACAAGTGGCGCATCATCTCCTGTGCCCTGCTCACCATGTACGCCTATCTGATGAAGCCAGGTGGTCGCCTCTACACCGTCACCGACGTGCCCGATCTCGCCGACTGGATGGCGAGCAAACTGCGCGCCCATCCACTTTTCCTCGAACGCCACCACCTGGTACTGCCCTCGCCGACGCAGACTGCGGCATCCTGGGACAGCGCCGTGACTGTGGCCGCCGAAGCCGACCCCGCGGTCGCCCTGTTGTGCAGCGGCTGCTCCGAGGAGGCGAAAAAGGCCACCAGAGAGGGACGCGGTGCTACGGTCTCCGTTTTCGAACGCCTCCCCAACCCCGACTAGGCAGCGGGATTCATTCAGCTGTTTTTACTGCTACTCGCGTGATAATTAAATGTTCGCCGCACTCTCGACTGTTTATCTCTTTGTGGGTAACTGACAGGGAAAGTTCGGACCATCATTAGGCACCCTCTACTTAGGCGTACGCCGCCGGTTTTTAACTTGATCAAAGTAGTCGGCTTTATCTTGCAGAACTGTCGACCACCGAATATATGTATATATGGATATAGGCAAAAATTCTGACCCCAGGTGTTAATATGGAAGAGGAAGATGAGGCGATCTCTGGGGAAGTAGGTTTATTCATCTGACCAGAAATATTCCGTGTCTTGTCCTACGTGAGTAACGCCTCCGAAGCCACTGAGCGCATGCTAAGACCGCTAAGCGTGGGCGTTGGACACCGACCGGGGGTCACCATCCGCCGCTTAATCATGCAACCCAAGGACCGGCTACCACCTGCAGACACGTCGGGCGTCATTTATTGCGTCAAATGTCTGGACTGTCCAGCCAACTACTATGGCATGACCGACAAACGCCTAAGAACGCGCGTGCATAAGCACACTTTGGCCGTAAGGCGAAAGGATGTACGATCGCATGTCGCCATGCACTGTCTGGAAAATAATCACAGAATGTTGGTCCAAGTTAAGGGATAATAGGATTTCTGTCAACACACACAGTGGAACCGTCTGAGGATGCCGGTAGCGAGACCTCCCAGACTCCTGCACTGACAATACCCGCTTTCCGTCTTGTCTCCTCTCCTGAAGAAAGCTGCGAGGGTGGTCGGCCCTACTTATCAGTCTTGATTTTATCTTTTCAGCCGGTGGAGTCAGATAACTGGCATGCGTACGAAATATAGTGCACTCGTGGATGGGGGTTTCCCTCCAACCCCACCTCCCCCCCGCTTCCCCGGATACCATGTTGGATAGCCTTAATGTCACTTTATTGATTCCCTCCTGGTCGGGGGGGGGGGTCACACAATGCGGAATAAGCTGGGGAAGGATGGAACTCTGGTCCTGCGTAGGAGAAGATATTGACTCGCTGGTCACCGGACTCCACCAGTGTAGTCCACAGCCCCGTGCGGCCCCTGCCCTGCGATTGTCAACTAGGTCCTCGCCTATAGCTCTTTGGTTCTGGAAGACGAGCGGACCTAGTACTCCCTGCCAAGTCAGGCTGAGTCACGTTTCCAATTTGGGCGGGGTTTAGAACCAGCAAGAAGCGCCTCGGTAGGTGGCTAACTTTCACGCTCTGCACATCTCTGATTCCCGTCTTCGGAACTCGATTGCGAGGTCACGGGACCGAACCCTAGAGGGTAGCGTGCACTGGGGTCGGATTCACCGTGCGCTCCGCACCAGGGTGAAAGTAAGGACGGCGACTTGCGCAGCATCTACCGCACTCCTCCCCGTTCGGAGTCAGAGTCAAGAAGACCGGTGGGGGAGGGCGCAGGTGGCTGGCACGACATAAAACCCGCAACTCCCATTTCATCATTTCATACGAGAAGGCGAGTTCTAGGTAGCAATTGATAAGTAGTGTACTTCATCGCTAGGACAGAGCCCACTTCCACCCGTCTCAAATTCACACGCGAGCCATCATCAGAGACAGAAATGCAAAGGGGCGCAGGAGGCTGCAGTAACTATGGAGACGCATGCCTGCTAATATACCGAACGCGTTCTGGTCGCCGAGCATTCACTGTTTGGGCTACCAAGTCTCCGCTCAACCACTGTTGAGACACACTGAAGTGAACTGGAAGTCGTGTTTACCGAATTGTTACATATCCCCGACAGGTATTCTGAACGAAAATGCCTACTCGGCCTTGGTAACCGGTGTAGGCAAAGATGGGACGTACGACCAAGCCGCGCGGTACCCACAAGCGCCTATGCACTTCTGCAGCCACTAGCCACCCCACACCACTACCGGTCGAAGCATCTCGCACGTTGGAGGCAATCGTGCAGCGCTAAGTGATGAGGCCGGATGGTTGCTGCCACAACTACAAACACCTGTGGGCAAAGTAGACACGACGGCGGGACAAGGTTGCTCAGGTGGGTGAGTGGACACGCAACAACAGCAGCAGCAGGGAGGAATGGCAGGTCGCGGCTCACCCAATGTGATCTGACCTCAAAGCTCACCGAGGCCAAATTACTTGCAGCCAGTGGCCAGATGCGGATGGCCAACGGACGCAGTGTTAACTCTGGGCAGGAGACAGACGGAAAGCGCCCCGAGGGACGGCAGAATTGCCAGCCGGTTACCACGCACATTGCTAACACAAGTGATGAGAGTGTGGTGAATGACGAAACGGGTGTGATTAGCAGAAAGACTAACGCACCAGTTGCGAACACCCGCAATGGTTTCTCTCTCCTGAGGGCTTGGTCGCTGTCTGACAATCAACAGCCATGCTAGCAACTGCTACAGCCTCTGTGCCCTCTCCCGTGGTGGATTCGTAAAGGTCTGCAAACGTCTGTTATGTCAGGATCAGCCAACCATGGCCCTCGCAGCCTGGTATGTGCTGGCAGTTCCCTGACACCTGGTTCCCTGCCGGTAGATGCGCTTGCGCTCCCGCTGGGTATGCAGGTCGTAAGCATAGCTGACCAGTTATCCTCGTCCTTCTGACTCCTGTTGTGGCGCTGTTAATGGTTAAAATCCTGGCCGCTTGTTGTATGGACCAGGGGGTGTGGAGTGGAGCGCCAAAATGCGGGCCCGGCCGCGCCATCCACCTGCGCCCCCCTCCGCCTCCGGTCTTCTTGACTCTGTCTTAACAATGGGCTCAAATGGTTGAGAGGAAGAGAGAGTGCAGTAGATGCTGCGCATGTCTGTATTCGCTATAAACTAAATCACGCGCAAGTCACCGTGCCTGCACCACCTCGCTGCAAGACACACAGTCGACATCGTCGGCAGCAACTGTCGAATTGTCGTGATGGATTCGAGCTTAAATCCGAAGCCTGTAGGCCATAAACGCTTTTGTTTGAACGATCAAGTTAACTTAGGGTCAATTTCTGCTCTAAATTCAAACGAGGAAACAAAATTCTCTGTGTAAGTTTGGCGGCATGCACTCCCAATGAAGGATTCTAATTTATTTTCGAAAAGTTAACTATCCCTGAGGCCAGGGGGCAACCGGTCTTGGCAGGCATGCTGCTCGATAGCTCAGCTTGGAGAATGTGACACAGCTTAGACGAGTGGGAAGTAATAATTGTGACGCACTGCAAACCGGGACGTCGGGGATCGTCGCTGCTGGATTTTCTACCATTATCAGCCAGTTGTACGCAAATCAAGGCCTCCTGGTCAGTAGGCGTGCAAGCTAAATGTAGTACATCACATACTTACGTGAGGCTGAGGACGTAGATGCATCCATAGGAGTGGTTTTCGCAGGCTTCTGATTGCGCGTGCCTTGTGGCCTTAATGCTAGGCCCACCCAGACGGCATCATATTGACGAGCAATCAGTAATCGGGAAGTATTATTGGCCTTATCTGTTTGCGCGACGAAGCCGACCTGGATTCTCTAAAATCGCACATCGTTCATGAGCATTTGCGTTTTGGTTGATACCATTTGACTTATGAGACAGTGTCTGCGGATTGTGAGTTGCATAGTCTTCAGTAGGCCTCCGTACACGCCCAAAAGTATCCGAATTAGACAATCGGGAGAGTGCACATATTGCTGACTTCGTGCAAAACAAAAAATTGATTGGATCCGATAAGACTGCCCCACATTGTTCGTCCTTAAGTTTGGAGGGGAGGTTGCGCCTAAGTGGGGTTACCAGACGTTATTGAGCAGTACCAGTCTGGAATTCTCACCGTACTCTGCCCTACTTTATGCTGTCAACAAGCCCTTCCACAAGCATGTCTGCCCCCTCCCCCCCGCGGGTGCACAGCAGGCGTTACGAGACGAGTTAGGAGAGGACACTTTAAGAATGCAAATATACAACATGCATTTAATAAAAGAAAGGTACTGTACAGAACTTCGCACTCAGTGCCGATATCCGCGCTCCCGATCCCGGCCGTTCCTGTATTTATCTAAAGAGGGGAATCGTTTGTTTTGAAAGGTCTCCTTACCTGGGGAATATTCGCGTTCCGCCCGCCGGCCGCGGTCCCGTGCTCGATCCGCCGAACGGCTACGACTGCGTCTAAAAGGTACCAGTTGGAGGGGGGAGGGAGGAGGTAGTGCCGGCCGTAATCTTTAACAGAGGTTGCAAAGGAAAACTTGCGGTTTAATGTGCGCGCAGCAGATTTAGCCTGTGTTACTGACTTTGCGAACTGAAGCGTGTTCGTGCGATGGGTTGAAATCTAATGCCTAGGACTTACTGAAGAACAAACCTTCACAAATATCAATTGGAATAGATTTGGAAGGTAAAAGTAAGGGGACGGGCTAGGCATTGTGCAGGTAGATACTAAGATGGTTTCTATATGCACTGCTGGAGGAGAGGCATTGTTTTTAACTGCAGTGTTACGGTCGACAGGGCAGTTGAGTCCCCGCGCAAGCACTGATACCTAGAAATCTAGGGAAGGCCAACGGTGAATAACCTACCACTTTACACCGCTGCGCCGGCACTAACTGGTCCCTGTGACCCTCGCACGAGTGCTTCAATTATGCGCCTAGGCAAGGGGGGTAGTACTGAGGAAATTCCGAAATCCACCGTGTGTTTTTAAATCGCGACACGTGCGTCTACTGAAATGTCTTCAGTAGCCTAACTTTAATTATGCTTAGTTCTTCTGCGGGCGGGCATTGCGGTTTTCCAGGGCAGTGTCCGCTACCCTCAAATATAATAAACTAAATGCGCCCAATTTTGTGAGCTCGATGAAAGTGGGAATCAGCCCAACATTGTGAATAAACGGAAGACTTTAACACTAAGCAAACGACGAGAATGCGCACCAGACACACTTGTTTCCTAATTGAACCCGCAACTAACTAGGGTGATTAATTAACACGGAGTGAAATTCGGACAGGTTGTCCCACCCCTTCCCTTATCCAGCGTCTGATGAGGAAAAATGGCATTTAGTGAAGTGTTCAGCAGACGGCAGGGGCTCGGCTGCGCAACCGAGCGCAATTTTGAGCCGGCTACGAGGACGGTTTAGACGGTCCTATCCGGAAGGTCAAGTCAGGTCTACTTTGCTAATCTGTGGACTTTTAATGCGCAAAACTCACGTCACAACCCGGTAGTCAGGACTCACGGACTGAATTGAACACGATTAACGCGCCTCTACCATTCGGAGGTCACGGCCTCACTAACTCCGTCCACATAGGCCAACAGTGCACTATGTTGACCGTATGTATGGTCAGCTGTGAAAACCTATAATGTGTCTTTATGATCGCGTTCCTGGCGTACAATTGGAAAGCGTAGTTTGCTCACGGGCGAGAAACGGGTGCAAACGGGTCTTTCTCTGACTTTCTGTTATTCAATCTGTCGCAACGTCCGATTATAAAGTGCTGCGGCTGTGATAATGCTAAAAGTGGTCGCTGAAGCGGTAGAGTTAAGATAAAGGAGACTCGCGGGACCTAGGTCAGCCATTGCATCTTCCGGCGCTGTTAAGCTGTCCGCTCAAGGATAAGCTGGGCAATTAATCACAGTGAAATCAACGAGGTTTATTTTTACGTCCTTTCGGAGAAGCTTGGCGAGTTACTTCCGCAAATGTGGTACGCTGGATCTGCGCTACGAAATTAGAGTAATGCCGTTCTGCACCACTTCCCTTAGAGGGAGGACAATCTGGAATATCTAAACTACAGAGGAATCTACTTGATCTATGTTGCCGCAAAGATCCCCGCTAATGTCTTCCTGAACTGCTTTCGCTCAGTCAGGAAGGTATGGACAAGGATAAACTTGGGAAGTCTGCGCCATCGTGGAAGCCATGTCGACTAAATACTCACTTAGCGATTAACCCTAAAACAGAGACATTATTTCTGAGAGAGGATTATCTGTTTCCTTGGCGTAGATACCGCCGAGAGGTTATGAAGGTTCACGAGATGTCCTCGAAACTCACGAGCTCGGCTAACGCATACTATAAACTCGAGGGAACATCAATTCGAACTTGAGGTACAAAGCGAATGCCTGTCAATAACGACTGCTGTTCGGCAGATTCACACCGTGGACAATGACTCCTATTGGATGGCGAAAGGTCGGAGGTCCTCAAACACTATCCACCTCGTTTACTTGTTGCCATCGACGGGTCAAGATCGGCAAATGAACTGCCGAACAGTACTCACGTGCAGCTTTTTGTCGATTTTGAAAGTGTCATGATTTTGTCACGTGGCTCGACCGCATTACGCCACGGTCAAAGTCCTCCTCTTTTACGCGAAGACCGCCGGGTGTGCTCGGAAACTGGAGCCCCGAGAGAACACTACGGTTTTGTCTCATGTACATCTAGAATATGGGACTCCTCAATCGATCGTACATACCTGGTGGGAACGAATGGCTTGCTATCTTAGATGGTTCAGTTACGCCCTCAATAGGTCTAAGGGAGAATGCATTTGTGACGTCGTCTCTCCATACGCACGGCTGCAAAAGCATGATCAACGTGATTTTAAAAAATCGACCGTGATGGTCAGATCTGGAAAGGACAAACAGCCCAGCGGTCTTGTTAACGAGGGTGGGTGGTAGGGCTGAGACTTGTTTTCAGCAAAACAACCGATTTCATCGCTGTATGCTCTGCGTTTGGTTATTTGATTCGGTGTTGATTAAGCGTATGCGTCTGTGCTCCAGGCTCAACACAATCTTCCCCAACACGAGGAATGAAGAACATGGGCAGCAACTGTCACTCCTTGATCTGCTTGTCAGGCGATGTCTTAAGGGTGAAATTGAGACGACGGCTTACATGAAGGTGGTAAACACCACACAACTTCTCAGTTTTCACAGCAACAATCCGGTGGCCCACAAATGAGGCTGTATGAAGACGCTCTTCAAGCAAATCCAGATTCATTGCAGCAACACGGTGGGGGAGCCCGTGAGGCCTAATATCTCCACGGCCAATTCCTACAAGTTCGCCCCGGAGGACCCAAACTGAGACACCACCCAGGATAAGGAGTGCTCTTTCATACAGTAACTACGTCGCAGAAACAATAAAGCGCATTGCTGCGGGACCTGGTGTTGGAATTGCACACCGGCCCAAAGCATATATGCAGAACAAGGTCGTGAAAATCGAAGACCGATTAAATTCCAAGGGGCAGTTTGGGGTAATGTATAGCATCCTGTGCCTAAGTTGCCCTCTTAATTGCACAGGTCAGACTGAACGCATGCTCAGACTGCGCATGAATGAACAGAAGCTGGCTGTGTGACGGGGCGACAAATTGCTGTAAGTGGCTGCCCACACCTGCGAAACGGGTCGTCAGTTTAACTCCGTAGACACTAAGATAGCCGCCCACGATGGAAACAAGACAAGTCGGTAACTGACTGAAACCTGGTTCTCGGCGGGGAACCCCGTCAATCGGTGTCGATCTAGTGCCGGCATACAGGGCCCTGCGCAGCCGTCTCTGGACCTATGTCATTGATCACTAATCAGCCAGCACCTCCTATAACTGTCGCCTGCTTTGCAGCTGCTACTGTATCTGGTGATGGACTTCTGCACAAGTTCAAAATTCCAGACTAATACACAAATTGTTCCGGTGCTCGATCGATCTTCTGCCGCACTCGTACATACAAGTAGAACCCGAACGTTCGCCTCCATTCGTGAGATAAGTTCTTCTCACTGTTGTCTTGCGGGATGGACATCCAAAGGCTGAATTGAGGATTGGGAGGCCCAACTTCCACCAAACAGTGAACACGCGGAAAAGGTGCTCTTTCGAATTACGAATTGCGATTGATGTCGCGGTATCCTTGGACTTTTGACAGTGAGTCAAATGAGGAAAATGACAGTTCACCTCTCTAGAAAGCGAAAATGAAAGAACTTTGCACCGCATGTTGGAACTTGAACATGCTTACTGCATCCATGACGTCGAGCCTAACTACGTCAACATCCCTGTCGTGCAATAGGAACATTGTCTACTTCTTCGAGGAGGACTTGCCAAATCCTGGTTGACACAACACTGAAGAGTCAGGCTCTCGGAGGACCTCCCATTAAGACCACGTTTTCACTGACCCTTCAGGTCGACATGATGACGCTGCCTCCCCAGGAGATCCAGATCCATTTATGTGTTGGAAGTCGACGATAATGACGACCGTTCTCGTGCAGCTTTGTACTACCGTCAATGTCAGAGTTGCTGCAGTGTATGCCCCACCACTATATGCAGATGAATTAGTTGGTGATTCAAAATATTTGGTTCAAGGACCCAGGAGAAATTTACTTAAGTAATACTCAAATGACGGCCACATTTGAAAACGCACTAGCTATGCACTCGTCCAGGCGCGTTGGATCGACACTAAGGCAGACCGGCGGACAATGAGTAGTGCCGAAAACGGCAATGAGGAGGGAATGCGGCATGGAGTTATGAGGGACCGGCTATAACGCAAGTAATGGCCCAAATCCCTCTCGAGATGGCATGACTTGAGGGGGGAATTCTATGACGAACACCCCGAGGATCTAACTACCTCCTTTAGTCGTCTCTAAACGCGAAGGATAGCCGCATCTGATGGGCATCCAGCTGCTAGCGGTCGGCATGAAGTGGAGCGGTCTCCAGACTACCTCCAAGATGGTGTTGGTGTCATTTCAAGGATTGAATTCCTGTCAAAACTATTGGACAGACCGTTCGTCTTCGTATCAAACAGAACCGCGGGACAGCACGCTCTGCATTGCCCGAACTTAATGAGTCGAAAGGCACAATCACACCAAATTTTAGGCACCTCGTGAGCGCATGTCTCCCGTTCTTGACGCACACGCACCGCACCAGTAATCGTGTGATCGCAGGCTTCGAGCGGATGACACATGCGCAACCTCCTGAACTGCCAAAAACAGGCCTCTGCCAACTCTGACGCCATTCAATCAATTCATCAAGCAAATGATCGCTGACTCCGGCTTATAACACACATGCCGCCACTCGCGCAGACCTTGAACCTACTGCGTGTCCGTGGCGCAGACCATCAACAGGTTTTCGTATAGAGTGAACGCCCCCGACTGTTGTACTTTTTTTCTAAGCTGGACTGAGCCCTGGAAATCTGATGATTGTGATTCCCTTCCAGTGAGAATTTGAGTATACTGGTCGACAGTAATTACCAAACCAGTTGTACAGCTTTCCGGAGATAATTTGGAAAAAAGACAGTGCGAACTGAATTGAGTCAAACTCTCGCTGGTTTGGTCCTTAATAAAGTCGACACTGAGCATAGGCACTATGGTCTCATTTCCGCCCGTTTTCTCAGTCGTCTTCTTCAAAGCAATGCACCAGACGCGAATAGCAGTTCAACTTTAGACAGTTTCGAAAATGAGTTGGGTAACATGCCCCAACTCGTCGGCAGTCACTTCTAGACTGTTTTGTTGATTTTGCCTATGCACTTGACTCCGTCCATCGGGATTTCCTGTGGCTGAGGATGCATGATGATGTGCCACTGAAGCGACGTCGAATGATTCAAGACCTCCATCGCAAACAAGAATCCGGCTTCGTTTGGACAGAAGATAGTGGTTTCTGGTGTTTACCAGCTCTGTTCAACTTCGCAGCAGGCTGTGATACGCACGGCTTTGATTCGTGTATCACAGGTCTTGATCGCATGAATGGCGTTACGATACTAGGAGGCTGGTTTGTAAATAAGCATCGTGTGAAGGCAGACGGAAAGAAACTCGAAACCAACTTGATGACAATGATGATTGTCTGGGGCTTCGTGATCGATTATATTTGCTTGCTCATTTTTGCCTAGGATGCTCTTGAAATAGTTCGAATTAGTAGTTTTCGATCGAGCGTCCTGTCAACTAACCAAGAGTAAAATCAGTCATCGGACCAACCGGGCAGGGAATACCTTCGTCCAACTTCGTCGGAAGCTCCGGAATCGGCATGTCATCTGTCAAAAAACTAACCGGTGAGTATTCAAGACGGTTTGCGAGACAACCCTCCCACGCGGACGTGAGGCATGACCAGCATGCTCAAAAGATATTCATCGCCTGACCGTACTTAAAAGATGTCAGCTCTTCATTATCCGCTAAAACATCGAGGACCGCATCGCAAATAAATATGTTTCTAGCCAGGAATCCACTTCATCATCTGCACCCTCCTTATTCACTGACCGAGATAGCTCAGCTGCACGTTGTGCCAACTTGGGGCGTTACCGTTCTGGATCTCATCTCATCCGGATCTTGCTGGTGATTGCACTGACTTGACCAAAAAAGTGTGGATGGATGTGTTAAAAGCCGCCTTCCAGTGCATTTCTGGCTCTGCAGCATTCCATCTGTCGAGGTAGCGCGAGAACCGGCTCAACTTCTCAGTGGTCTGTGGCTGGCCGAGTGCAATAGAATGCAATAGTTTTTAATGTGCATAACATATGACATTCAGCCGATTGAGTCGGAACTTATTTATTTCGTCCTAAGTACTTAGTAGACACGTAACTGATGGTACTCCACCGAAAACGTCGCCATCAATTGCCAAGCATTAAAAAGTTGTCAAAAGACATTTAGGTGTGACGATCACACAAAAGTGCACATGAGGGAAAGATATTGTAGGAAGAGAAATAAACAAGCATCAGTTATAGAAGCAACAGCGAAGATTGACATACGAAAGTATTCTACTTACCTTCTTGATTTGTCTTTCTCTCTGCGCTCTTTGTCTTCCTTGTCCTTCCGCCTTTCTCTGTCGTAATCACGCTCCCTGTCACGCCTCTCTCTATGATTCAGATGGGGAGACTCGTCGCGGTGTCGGCGATGGTGGCGTTCTCTTGCGCGATCGCGATCTTTACTTCGCTCACGATAATCCCTGCCATCCTCATGTTTTCGCCCTTTGTTTTTTTCCTTGGTAGTATCAATGTCACCGTCCGATATTTCATCCAGTTCCTCGTTGTACTGCAAGTCTTCCAGGTCTTCGTCGAGAAGAGATTGTCGAGACTCGAGGACGTTCGCTTCCTCGAGAACAGACCTCTTTTGTAGACGTGGAAGTATAACGTCACATACTCTCTCCTCTGTCAGGAGGCTATCAATAAACTCATCCATGTGGATAAGGGAAAACTCTAAAAGGCACAATCGATCTTAAGAGGTTCAGTACTTCCAGAATTATCTTGTTTTTTAATCTTCCGGAAGTCGTTGTAAAGTGTTTCCAAGTATTTGTATATTTCGGCAGACTCTCCAACCAGACGAAGATAAAAAGCGCCAATCGCCCTTGCATACCTACGCAAAGATCGGCAATAGAATTTCAAACGAACTTGTAATCTTCCTGCTTTATAAATTCTATGACGATATCCTTATCCGGTTGAATTTGGAGCATTTTCAGAACCAGACATAAAAACGGTGTTGGTTTCGTTAGGCCGCTGTAGACTCCGCCGATGTATCGTAATTCTATTGCTTTGTCCACCAAAAGTTCAGCTGCCGAGGTATATAAATATCAAGAAATTACCCGTCAGGGCAAAACAATGTTCCTTCCAATATTTAGATTCATATATACGACTTCTAATTATTTTTTCTATGAGATACTGCGGGTTAGTCCCATGGACGGAATGGGCATCCTTGACTGTTCTGTTCGCCATGGAGCAGCACTGGCGACAGTAAGGAGCCGGCCCGAAATGCCGAAAAAGACCTCTTTGGAAAAAGTCAACTAAAGGACCAAAACTAAAGAACGTTTGGCTTAGACAAACAAGCAAGGGAGACACAACTAGGCTCTTTGAAAGTCAATAAACTTAGAGATATAGGTGGCTACCGTAGATTTATAGAAAGATTACTTCCATATTTCGATAACACGACGGTGAGAGATCGCTGTTGTGTGGATTTGTCAATTCCAATTATCCTTTTCTCAATTTCTTATACACCTGTGCTTTCATTTCTCATGTTTGAATATATTAAATACACGCAACAACCAGTTCCGGTGTGCGGCGTTGTAACGCCCCTGGACTTGAACAGTATTGTTTGAAAGCCGTGACACTTTAGGCGCGAGGACCTAGGATGGAGATGGCGTAACTGCGTGCTGGCGAAGACGGCCGGTGTCCATTCCTCCCGTTACCGCCGACCCCCCTCCCGCAACGAACCGCCGCTCTCGACTCTCTCTCGCTCTCTCACTCAATGTCGGCTCCCTCGGCCCTCCCCTGCAGTTTTCCACAGCGCTGCATCCCCACCGGCTGTTTAGCTAGTACGCAGGGTCGTCTACCCATCCAGACAGGTCACCTATTTGCTGTTCCTCGTTGCTCGTGTACACTAACGTTTGTTATATAAATCCTTCATATCAGTTGTACCATTACACTATACCCATACTCGACGTACTCTCTTCTTTTGCGTGTGAACGAGTTTCGAGAGATGTTAACAGTTCTGTTCAGGTCTACCTCCGTCAGAATCTCTTCTCGGCGTTTCTTTATTCCGGTGTGTGCTACCCTTGACGTCCTCGGCCGCTACATCGTTACGTGTTTCGACTTCGCTTCCGTTAAGTGCTGATGGTTCATAAATCACTTTCATTCGCCTGAATCCGTTCTAGCCAAGTGCGGTAAACATCTGGGATTTGCTTCTCCGCCACACCTCGCCGGTCGTGGATTCATCCCGGCGACAAACGCTATCAGTAGGAACTAATTTACACTTTTGTAACTTACCCAAAAAGACACTTACCTTCTATAACAACCTGATTAGAGAGAGGACATCACTGCTGGCGAGTCTGGACAACAATCCACCTTTGCCATTCTCTTATTTTTTCTTCGTCATTATTCGTAGGTTAGGCGTAATAATTCCACTTAAAACTAAGTTATTCCTTCATATATTATTGTTTTTTAGTTTCGGTTGTTCCTCACCTCACAGATGTTAAGCGTCGAAAATTATAATGCTCTAAGCACATACACCTAAAATGTTTACTTTAATTTTGTCAATTATTCTGGGTTATGTATGAAGGAACGTCACAACTTCTATTTGCGTGTCGTACGTCATTACAGAATGGTTTTCATCCTTTCCAACTTTTTTTGTTTATGCGACTTCTGCCAAGCCCTGGTGACTTATTTTAGAGGCCCAGCGTCATGTTGATTTTTCAAGCCATGCACGAACGGCGTCTTTGGTCCCCATGGGCTAACAAATACAGCCATGTCCACCAGATGTTTTTGGACTGACGAAGTGTTTTCCTGCTTCTGAATATCTAACACTGTCAAGAGAACTCCACTTTGTCCACGGGTCAAAGCCAGGTACTGGCAGAAATGTTAAAACAGCTTTCTTGCGAATTCTCCAAACCTTTTCGCATAGACTTCAGTCGGACACTGATCGAAACAGCTTTCTTTTTGATGGGCATTCGATGAATATATCGAAAGTGGAAGTTAATGCGATGGTTCCTGGTGGTCGACAACGCGAATATTGCCGAATCGCAAGTCAGGAAAGACGAATTGCTTTGATCAAGCCTTTCTGGTGAGAAAGGGAGTACAGGAAGCTCAGTAGGCAGTTGCTGCAAGCTGTGTCTCCAGGCGCGACATGCGTTTCGGTACCAGACACTTAGAGTATTGGCCTCCGGCGCGCGTGTGTGCATTTGCTCTGTCTGACTTGTGTTTATCTGTAGCCTATAAGCGGAAGAGCAGCGCTGACTTGCTCCGAGCTCTCGCGAGACTAGTACCAAGCCTAGCGCGGATCCAGCAACGGAATGTCAGGGCAGGTGAGGCGGACGGTGGCAAAGCGGTGGCGATCGACAGAGCGGACTGCAACAAGTATTTATCCACTTCACAAAAGTGGGTCCAAGACAAGCGCCCATAAGCATAGCCCGGAAAAGTTGTGAGAAGCATAATCAAGAACTTGCCATAAAGTACATTCTCGACAGTGTCAACCACGATTTATGACGAAACTACTCCTGCTTGACCATTATGACCTACTAAAGGAGCAGTGATTTCAGGTGTTAGTAGAAGACACAAGAGTTAATTTCAAATGGGTCTTCGATTGTGTCTTACATTGTTGATCACTGTTTGGTCACTCTGCAAGACCAGAGTGTGTGTGATAGTGGGAATCGGCTGGACTGGACGGAGGACATTTTGACCGACGGAGCTTAATCTGCACTCATAGGTAATGACCAATCGAAGTCAGCGCTAGTTGTGAATTACTTAATTTAGGGTTCCATTCTCGGGCCATTTATGCTTCTGATCAAACAGAAATGGACTGCAGAGGAGTCATGTAAGCATTCGATATCCTAGTATGGTGGGCAACAAAGCCCACTAAGCACTAAACCGCTTATTTTAATGGTCTGGTAAGTGGATGCTCGAGTTTAACTTTGAAAGCCTGTCACATTGCAGGTCAAACGGAAGAAATAAGTACAAAAGTGTCACTCTCACTAATACTTTATAACGGTAGGCCTTTGGCGGATATAATTGAGCAAAATAGTTCCAGAATCATCATTTTGCCACCTTTGAGGTCATCTGAAGTTCTTCTTGTCATGAAAAGGTCTATCATAGGTATAGATAAAAGGATATATAGAAACCTGTATGGTCCTTTCGTCCGTTTGCATGTGGAATATGGTACACAGACACGTCATTTCCGGCCAGAAGGCTTATAAGATAGTGGAAAGGAGTCGACCGAGAACGATAAAAGTCACAAAGGACCGAAAAGCCTTATCATACAAATGACAATTGGTGTGCCTAACATATTCTCCCTCGAACACAGGCAGACCCTGGGGGCCTCGTAAAGACCTAAGGATTATGAGGAATCTTGTTTGTGCTCCGCATTTCAACGACATTCTCGCAAATACCTTACCAGACAACATTCGGGGGAATGGTCAAACTTCGATGAACCGTATCGCACCCAGTTGTCCGCTGGTACTCCTTTTCGCAACGAGTTGTATTTGCGTGGAACAGACTTCCCGAGGGCGCAATATCTGTAATACAACAGAGGCATTTGGATACAAAGTGGACGCCACTTTGAGTCCTTTTAAATAAGTCACTTTATTTATGAAAGTAAGCTTCCTCATTTAGCTCCCTATCTGCTTCCGAAAATTCGATAACATCAGTTTTTGCAGCAGTAATTTTGGAAAGTGTAAAGCCATCGACAAGTGCGAACCAGATGCACACTGTCACCACTAATGCAATCTTCATTGTGCTATAGTAGTTTCTCAGCAAATGAATGTTTTGTCTGTACTTAAATAATTCAATTGCTCTTGGAAGCATTGCTGTAACAGGGGGCCCTTTCCAGGTCCCAACCGACCCCTGCGAGCAAAAGTTTCGTCGGTCGTCCGTATAGGCCAAATCCTCCTCAGCAGCTCAAAGGTACGACCCCGAAGACAGTGCATCACAACTAATCAGAAGACGTCTTCAAGTTCCAGGGCACATTCATGGCCTCCAGCAACCCAGAAGGTTTGAATGAGGTCACCATGAAGTTGCCGCTAATTCAGAGGAAAAAAGTTATGTTCAGCCGGTACTGCTTCGTAAGACAAATGGCCAATATTCATTACCATTTTTCAAACTCCCGTCTGCACTTATTGCAGGAGTTTATAATCCTTCTTAATAATAATGGTAAAAATAATAATAATAATTTTTATTAAAGACCCGTCGGGGTCCCATCAAAGCAGGTAAAACTAAATTTACATGCCAATTTTAGACGAGGTAGGCAGAATCTGTACAAAATGCACTTCATAATTTCTGAATTTGTAGTCTCTTAAGAAAAATGATGAGCGAAAGGTGAAGAAAAACTCCACTTAACAATTTAAAAGTTCTTGGATTCTGGATCGTCCGAGGGCTAGACTGTGCTCTTCAGTTTGACGATTTCTTCGAACTGGCGCGGACGACAAATCTTCGAGGGCACCAATACAAATCGAAGACAAAATATGCCAAACTCGAATTGCGGGCCAAACTTTTCTCCCATCGGCTAGTTGACAGATGGACCAAATTGCCGAACTCCGTTATCTTAGCGGGAAACGTTGAGACCTTCAAAAGAAGACTAGATAAATTTATGCGTGGTGGTCAAACATTTACATGATATCAATAACTGGCATAACTGCTATGTAAATATCTGCATGTGTTTTTCATACGTCTATCTGTAAATAGGGTTTTCCAAGGCTCTGCCTCAATCCCTCATATATACTGAATTATACTGAATTTTACAGGAGAAAAAACCCTTCGCTAAAAAATAATAACAGAAAAATGCGGGCAGGGCTGGCCTGCATGTGGTATTGTATACGGGATTCAAAACTGACATCGTCAGGGCAGGATTGATACGCCGGATGAGACTATTCGCGTCAAAGAGGCCAGACGAGAGGAACCCAGACGCGATCAGCCACAGTACGCTTCGAGCCCAGCCGAGGAGTGGGGAAGGGAGGTACGACCAAACTACTAG